TTGACATACATACGGATACGTTTGAGTGTATAGTATGGAAGTGCCTCATAGGGGCCAATAGGCGTTCTGTAGTGTTCCTTATTGTTATGTTCTTATAATACCACGTCAGTAAACATAAGAATGTGGCGAGAACCGTTTGACTCGTGGGTTTGCAACACATTATCAGAGCACATTAATCCATGACCAAACCGATGCTATTGAAATTCCATATTGAAACTTTGAGTGTTTACCCGAGTAACACCGAAACTGTTCTTCAAGCAACCCGTTCTCCTGAAGTACGTCGTATTTTGACGTGTCCTAACGCCAAAGACTGACGTACTAAAAATGGCAGCTGCTAGCGAAGTTGATGTGATGTCCCGTTTTCTGTTCGTGGGTCCACGGGAAGGTTAGGTTCGGGCAATTTATTCAACCCCTCCTCCTTATAGCACGTCGCATTTTGACGAATACGTTCCCTAAGGGCAAAAACTGTCGTGCTAGAAAACGGTAGCGGCTCGCGAAATTGACATAATGACCCGTTTTCTCTTCGTGGGTACTTTGGTAGGTTAGGATAAGAGCACGTTAATGCGACAGTTTCATGACGTTGGGAACACTTGTGAGAACGGGCTGATTTAGTTCAATAGTTCAGTGACGTTGGAAACGCTTAGGAAAACGAGCTGCTTCAAAACCATGGAAATCAAGAACCGTCTGTTTATGTATTTTCTGTGTGTTGTTATAACAATTATTTTAGGAGATAATTACATATATTACAAAACAAGCACTGATGGAATTTCAAAATTATGGTTGATTACGTTTGTGTTGTGCAGAATCAATGAAAATTCCACACTTCGTTCAATAATATTCATTGCAGTTGATATGGTGCATTTCACAAACTTGACCACGACAAAGATAATAATAATACAATTTTTGGCTAAGTAATTAAATAAAAAAATACAATCTGTTCAGGAAAATATTATGTAGATCATCTTTACCGACAAACTGCAAATATGTTTAAATTAAAGCTCTAAATTCACAGTTCTTTCAAAAAAAGTTTCAGGTAATACTGCAATGAACACTACTTGCAAAAAAGTAACTTTCAGTGCTCCAATATAAAACTCCTAAACATAAACTTATTTTCTGCAGACCTCTAGCACCACTCCAACATGTGTGACGAAGACGTGAGCCCCTTGGTTGTGGACAATGGCTCCGGCATGGTCAAGGCCGGCTTCGCCGGTGACGACGCTCCCCGCGCCGTCTTCCCCTCCATCGTCGGCCGTCCTCGTCACCAGGGTGTGATGGTCGGTATGGGTCAGAAGGACGCCTACGTCGGTGATGAGGCCCAGAGCAAGAGAGGTATCCTGACTCTCAAGTACCCCATCGAACACGGCATCATCACCAACTGGGACGACATGGAGAAGATCTGGCATCACTCCTTCTACAACGAGCTTCGTATTGCCCCTGAGGAGTCCCCAGTCCTCCTGACGGAGGCTCCCCTCAACCCCAAGGCCAACCGTGAGAAGATGACACAGATCATGTTCGAGACCTTCAACACCCCCGCCATGTACGTGGCCATCCAGGCCGTGCTGTCCCTGTACGCCTCTGGTCGTACCACAGGTATCGTGCTTGATACTGGTGATGGTGTCACCCACACCGTCCCCATCTACGAAGGTTACTGTCTTCCCCACGCTATCCTTCGTCTCGACCTGGCTGGCCGTGACTTGACTGCTTACCTTACAAAGATCATGACAGAGCGTGGTTATTCCTTCACCACCACGGCTGAGCGAGAAATCGTTCGCGATATCAAGGAAAAACTTTGCTATGTCGCCCTCGACTTTGAGAACGAGATGAATATTGCTGCTGCTTCTTCATCTCTTGAAAAGTCCTACGAACTTCCCGATGGTCAAGTCATCACCATCGGTAACGAACGTTTCCGTGCTCCCGAATCTCTATTCCAGCCTTCCTTCCTGGGTATGGAATCTGTCGGTATCCATGAGACCGTCTACAACTCCATCATGAGGTGCGACATTGATATCAGGAAGGACCTGTTCGCCAACAACGTTTTGTCTGGTGGTACCACCATGTACCCTGGTATTGCTGACCGCATGCAGAAGGAAATCACAGCTCTGGCTCCCCCCACCATCAAGATCAAGATCATTGCTCCTCCCGAGCGTAAATACTCCGTCTGGATCGGTGGCTCCATCCTGGCCTCTCTCTCCACCTTCCAGACCATGTGGATCACCAAGGAGGAATACGACGAGTCCGGCCCAGGCATCGTCCACCGCAAGTGCTTCTAAGAAGTACACTATCGAAATCACATGTGAATTGTTATTATTGTTAATATTTTATCTATATGTTTCCTGCATACAATTTTTTGAATGTGGGCATATCTGTTAACAACAAAAATAAAAGTAATTACTGTGGAAGAAAATGTTGTAATTATAGTCCATATTTTTACGGTTTTAAATTGCTCTGTATACATGGAAAATAATTATAAGCGAGAATGGAAAACAAGAGGTGCATTATATTAGTATTTTTTATTTTCTGAAAGAATTTGACAAATAAAAAAAATATATACATATGTCTAATGATGGTCTGGTTGTGTGAGGAGATTATATGCTCCTTAATGAAGCCGCCTTGTTTATGCATTGTTAATCGCCTAGAAAGAGACGTTGTTGTCTTGGTTATATACTGAGATCTTCGGGGCTGACAGTCCCCAAATGGGCATGTGAAGGCATAGACGTCGTTAGTTTCTTTCAAGGCGTTCTGTTTGGTGTCTGAAGAGTTCTTCATGAGTAGGTTGGCCGTTTTCTTGTTTTTGTAGTAAATTGTTCATTGTATCTTCTGATTTGTGTCTGTGGGGGATAACGTTCCTATTAATAATATCTTTCAGGACACTTTCCCCGTTTTATGAGCCGTCGAAAAGAAGTTTCTGTAAAACAGTCTAATAGGGGGTACAAGTGTTGTGCTAGTTGATTCCTCAGAGGCTGCATGGCGTTTCACCTTTCTTTTAATGACGTCTTCAACATAATCGTTAGAGAAGCCACTTGACTTGGACCTGCCTTACCCTACAGAGTTCTTCGTCGACCTGGTTCCAACCAGAGCTGTGAGTGAAAGTTCGGTCGACGTAAGCGTTGACAACACTCCTCTTGTACCTGTCTGGGCAGTCACTATAGGCATTAAGGCACATTCCTATGTTCGTTTCCTTAGTGTAGACTGCAGTGTGGAAGCCACCATTCCTTCCTGTGACTGTTACGTGACTCCTTGAAAAGGCAGCTTCCCATTACTCTCCATCTCGTAAGTGAAACTTAACACCGAATTTTGCTCGAATGCCTCCTTCAGCTGCTGCAAACGGCTGACGTTTGAGAGAGAGAGAGAGAGAGAGAGAGAGAGAGAGAGAGAGAGAGAGAGAGAGAGAGAGAGAGAGAGAGAGAGAGAGAGAGAGAGAGAGAGAGAGAGAGAGAGAGATTACAAACAACTAGCCTCAGAGACCCTTTGGTACCGACCAATGCCTCCACGAACTTGCAGTCCAATATCTTCATAACACAAGAGACTAGGACCACCAAAAAACTGACGTCTTTGTTTGGAGGTCTTATTGCAGTTCCCCGACCCAGAGATGGCTTCCGAAATCTCTCCGGAATCAGCCTCACTGAGGATCAGTTCACTCGCTTAAATCTGGGAATAAACTGTCACGTTATGTCGAGACCAAGTGAGACGGTGGGAGACGGAAGGTGGAGTTGGAGATCCTGCTGCACGACATGTTCCACCTTGAGACACAAAAGGTCATCACTAAGGATACTTTGCGAGGAGAACTTCTGACAAATGGAGGAAAGGTTCTATATAATTAGTGAAGCACCATACTATCTTCTGAGCTCAAAGCGGCAGCTAAAGATCTTCGTAAGATTAAGGAAATAGTTATCATAGTTATCGGAAAATGTGATAAATTGCCAATATTTGTCATCTTCAAAATCGATGAATATTTTTAAAACATAAACCTCATCCTCTTTGATCAAGGTTAAATTCTATGGGAACACTATGCGGTCTACACTATGGGAACCAACAAAGTAATGTGCCTTAATGCTAATAGTGAGTGCCCTGACAGGTACAAGCCAAGTGCTGTAGACAACTGTGTCGAGAGCACTCTCACACGGTTGACACAGTTGTTGAAGATGGAAGTAGGTTGATCTGCGTTACTCGGTACAGTAACACAGGTCCAAGTCAGTAGTAGTAGTAGTAGTAGAAGACATCCATCAGTCTCAGGAGACTGCGTTACTGTACCGAGTAACGCAGGTCAACCTCCTTCCATCTTCAACAACTGTGTCAACCGTGTGAGAGCAATAAACAAGTCAGTAATGGGTACTCTAATGTATATGTCGAAGATATAATTAAAAGGAAGTGAACTGCCATGCTATCTCTGACGCAACTGTCAACACTACAATGTCTGTGGAAAATCCATAACTTAAAGGATGCTTTGTAAGCGTCTGCGCTCATGCTATATAAAACGCCCAAAAGACAACATAATTTAAAAGTTAATTAATTTTAATTAAATTAAAGCAAGATATTTTTTCATACGTTTCCATATTCACTATATGGAATACAAACTAATAGCAGTGTTAATCAAGGTGCGCTCGTAAACTAACTTAATTAAATTTCACTCACCGAAAACTTTATTTTGTGTGTGTGTGTGTGTGTGTGTGTGTGTGTGTGTGTGTGTGTGTGTGTGTGTGTGTGTGTGTGTGTGTGTGTGTGTGTGTGTGTGTGTGTGTGTGTGTGTGTGTGTGTGTGTGTGTGTGTGTGTGTGTGTGTGTGTGTGTGTGTGTGTGGCTTAACCGGATCACGAGTTAATTTATATCATAACACTGCCAGATGGTACTAAATATACACCTTGACAAGACACTCTCTAAGTCAGCTGTTTTGTTGCATTATTACAAGTGAACAGAGACATATACAGTCTTCCTCAGTTGTTTGTGGTCGCGTTGACCTAACGAGTCTGATTAAACTAAGTGACTTTCTCCCCTTAAACACTCACATAACTAAGACACCTTCTCCTATACGTAGGACAGATAACGTGTAAATATTTGCTGATCCTCGTAATGACACTACGTCTGATAAGAGTTGTTATGTTACGTTCCATTTGGTAGTATTGTCGGCTCGCTAGTCCTCAGTGGAGGAAAAGGCAGCAACTGTGTTCACTTGTTCCACACTGAATTACCCAACCACTTGGGCTGGACGGTAGAGCGACGGTCTCGCTTCATGCAGATCGGCGTTCAATCCCCGACCGTCCAAGTGGTTGGGGCACCATTCCTTTCCCCCGTCCCATCCCAAATCCTTTTCCTGACCCCTTCCCAGTTCCCAGTGCTATATAGTCGTAATGGCTTGGCGCTTTCCCTTGATAATTCCTTCCTTTCACACTGAATTCTGACAGCAAGTGTTTTTACTGCAAGACTTACAATTAATGCTAATTACATCCCGTATCATCCTTTCATTCTCACTTATAGGCCTGGGGTAAATCTATTTTTATAGTGCACTACAATATCCTTTTCTACGGGGTCAATTATTTTCAGTGTAGTGGCTATTTAGCTTCTTACTAACAATTTCCTTGAAGTCGTTATTGCCGCAATCGCTATTCACAATTATTTTCCAGATACGTTTGAGGTCACGACACAAGAATTGCCAGGAAGAGCAGGTCAATATAAAATGCGCGCACTACATATGCACCGGTGAAAATTATCTTATATCTGTCAGTACATTCAAAGTGCCCAAAAGGCTACAACTCCTAGGTTGTGCGAGTCCATAACCCAGTGACTGGGCCGACCCTGACCCGCCTGTGACAGTCCTTGCTCTGGTGTGTGTACTCACCTAATTGTACTCACCTAATTGTGCTTGCGGGGGTTGAGCTCTGGCTCTTTGGTCCCGCCTCTCAACCGTCAATCAACTGGTGTACAGATTCCTGAGCCTATTGGGCTCTATCATATCTACATTTGAAACTGTGTATGGAGTCAGCCTCCACCACATCACTTCCTAATGCATTCCATTTACTAACTACTCTGACACTGAAAAAGTTCTTTCTAACGTCTCTGTGGCTCATTTGGGTACTCAGCTTCCACCTGTGTCCCCTTGTTCGCGTCCCACCAGTGTTGAATAGTTCATCCTATGTGTGTGTGTGTGTGTGTGTGTGTGTGTGTGTGTGTGTGTGTGTGTGTGTGTGTGTGTGTGTGTACTCACCTATTTATGCTTGCGGGGATTGAGCTCTGGCTCTATGATCCCGCCTCTCAACTGTCAATCAACTGATGTACAGGTTCCTGAGCCTATTGGGCTTTATCATATCTAAAGCCATAGATATGGTTCTATAGCTCTATCATATCATATCATGTATGTGTGTGTGTGTGTGTGTGTGTGTGTGTGTGTGTGTGTGTGTGTGTGTGTGTGTGTGTGTGTGTGTGTGTGTGTGTGTGTGTGTGTGTGTGGGCGTGTGTGGGCGTGTGTGTGCGCGTGTGTGTGTGTGCGTGTGTGTACTCACCTGAATGTGTGGGCGCGTGTACATATAGCTTTGCATGTTTGACTAGCTAGTCAAACTTGATGTAAAATTATTTAAAATATATATATATATATCTCCCTCTCTTCATATACATATTTAGGTATATACATTTAGCTATATGGCAAGTACCTTTAAGTTTTAAAAATACATTGCAGGAATCTATCTCTGAATAAACTCTAAAGAGATGAGATCTGAGTCATTCAACACACAACATCAACTATTAAGGCAAAAGCCGTGTATATGTTAAGGCTTCCTAGCTGCCAACTCCTTGCGTGTAGCCTGAGCAATTGTTTTTTTTTAGTTAGTCAATACTCCGGAATGCAATTCTGGTCATTGTTAACGTTAATAAAAATAAAATATACCATAAAACAAATTCAAGTATTTATGACTGCTGTTAAAAATAAGTTAAAATAACTATTATGTTAATTATATAATATTTATCACCGGGGTATCGGATGACTTCAACACAGAAAGCAAAGAGCCGCTCTGGACAACCACCTCAACCAGCTGTAAACTGAAATTGTAAACAAATGACACAAAGTATCCTGCTGCGTTAATAAGCAGGAATAAACAGCAGGTATATAAAGGCAATTATGAAGGCTGGAAGCTAGTGTACTTCAAGCTCAGGATACGTCTGCACTGTGTACGTGTACCAGCTGTGTGGTGATCATTATCAATTACTTGAAAATACATAACGATAACGAATGGAAACGGCCGTTTTGTATTTGTTTTATTAGGATTTTATCTAACGGGGTAACGCGAGATACAAACAATATGGTTATACTACGTGTTAAGTATTAGCTGTCATAAACGATTTATTGATTTTATTCTACGCATCTTCTTAGTTATCTCAAACCGGGATATTAATTAGAAAATATTTAATATACATCTTTATATATATATATATATATATATATATATATATATATATATATATATATATATATATATATATATATATATATATATATATATATATAGTGTCAGAC